CCTTGTTTATTGATTGCATGTAATATTCTAATTTTCTGAGATGGTGGATTTGGGGTTTTCATGAGTTATATGCCATAATCATAACAATTATGACACATCACGGCTTGAACTATCTTGCTTTGCATGTAATGAGTCTTATCTCATATATTGGTTTCACCTTTTAAGTTGCATTACTGAAATAAATGAACTTTTGCACGATATTCTAATTTTTCGAGTTTCACCTGGAGTTGCCAGTTTCAAAAAGTGACTCTGGGCAGTGTATATCATAGAACTATGCTTTGTACTTACAGACTGTTGTAAGACAAATGGTATCTCTATTAAATCAGTGAAAACCAGTCTCCTGTGCCCTTTTCCCGGCCTCCTATAAACAAACAGTTGGGTCAGAAGAGGACAAGAAACCACTGGTATGCTGAGCATCACTTCTATGGTTGGCATGGATACACAGAACTATGCCTACATATGAATACACCTTTACTCAAATCTTCCTTTCCTACCATTCTTGCCAAGTACATTTGCCATAGACAGTACACACACATACACACACACACCATGTATAAATGCACATAAAATCATCCTAGTCTTTTTCCAGTTGTGAGAAGATTAAGACAAAATTAAAAAAAGAGACCAGGAGAAAGACAGCAAGAAGGGCACACAATTTTAGGGGATTAAGTATATGTAAATTTAGACTTTGGGAATGGGAATTAGTAGAATGTGTCAAAAGCTTACACAAATCTCTACCCTAGTTCAGTACACATCGATGGTATCATTTTAAATAGAGAGGTGCAATTTTCTGCACAGAAAGAGAAGAAGCATGAACTGTGATGAGTCCAGCCCACAGCCTATCCTATTTAAATTGTACTTCCAGCAACTAAGACCCAAGCTGGTATATCTTACTACAGCACCCAAACCTTCAAACATGGGTCATAATGTAGGCTTTGGGTGGTGGTGGTAAAACATCTAGCTTGCATGAACTTCTATATTACTATCCCACACAAAGTATATGGATGTGTTCATGAAGTTACCAAGTAATCAAGCTTGACTCAAAGGAGACTGTATTAAAACACACACAAATATAGATAATTTGGCAATGGAAGGAATTACCTAGAGGAATAGTGTTTTGTTTTGTTTTTTCCTAAATAATACACATTATACAATCATCATCTAGAGTGCTCTAACTTCTGATTTCCTCTACTGAATAAAGGACTAAACTGAAGGCCTTATTCAATTCTAAAGCACTACAGCTGTATGAAAGAATTATATTGTGTTAACACTGGCACGAGATTACAGTGTACATTTCTGTTGCTTAATGGTTATAAATCATAATGGCTATATATTATTTCCAATACCATAGACCCTTGGTCTCTGAATGCCAGTTGCTGGGGACCATAAGAAAGAGGATGTTATTGATTTCCTATCTGGGCTAAGTCTTCCTAACACATCTGGAAGGCTAATGTGGAAGACTATACTGAAAAAAACAGGCATTTTGTCCAACTCAGTCATCTTCTTATATGTGACAGACGAATGCCAACTCGTCTTAAATCTAGGATTTACAAGACAACCATCCACCTGTTGCACTGTATGGCCCTGAATGGTGGGCAGCAACAACAGGCACCAAAATCTATCTCCATATCATGGAAATGCAAATGCTTCGTTGGATATCGGGCATCTCACTTCTTGACCACATCACAAATAACACCATTCAACAACATTTTGGTGCAGCACCAATTATAGAGAAGATGAGAGAACGCTGGCTCCGCTGGTATGGACATGTCCTGAGAGCAGCCCCTTCCACTGTTGCCAAGACTGCCTACCAATTAGAAGTGAATGGCCGGTGACCTCACGGGTATCCAAAACAGATGGCAAGACGCCATATGTAAGTTGCAGGTCTGTGCCCTGCAGACACAGCTGACGATGCAAAGTGGTGTTCAATGATCCAAAAAATTGGACCCTACACTTTGGGGAATATGCTAGGGAGGAGGAGGAGGAGGAAAAGGAAAAAGAGGAGGAGGAGGAGGAGGAGGAGGAG